TAAAAGTTGAGGAACGAGTACAGCGGACCAACCCAACAAAAATTGATTCCTCCCATACATATAGCTTTGGTTTAAACATCCAGTCTAAAACAAGCTCCCTGATTTTCCACCGTACCTTGGCCAATGACTAAACATTTATGGGCTGTTTGTTTTATTGTTTTAGAAACAATTATCATTTATCAACTTTAATCAAACGAATTATATACTTTAAATTATAAATTATAAAAATTATTAATTGTTAGATTTTAATTATTAACTATTGATTAAATTTAAATAATTAATCCAAATACCCCTTCATCATTTGTTTAACTTAAAATAATTAATAAATAGATAGCTTAAGTGGTTTCATAGTTATATGTAGAGTTAATTTGACATTTTTTTTATATGTGCTTTGATTTGTTTTTTTTTTTAACATATTTTGCAAGGGACGGGTTTCGAACCCGCCCGGGGGATGCACCGGCTGACTAATGCCAGTAGGTCACAAGGCCAAGTGCGTGCTTTGATTTGTTTAATTAAATGTATCTTTTGTAGACTTATTGAATTATGAATTTATATAAAAAAGCAAAAATTTTCTTACACCTCTTTTTAGTAGTATCATCACCATTTTCGTTTTGGTTTTAATTGTAAAAATTTTAGCAATGCTAAACTAAAACAAACAAGTTTAATCTTATCCCCAAAAAAAAAAATTATTGGTTATTAGTCTTAAAATTTTGTATCCAACAAGTTATTCTATTAAATTTTTAATTTTGATTTCTTATTAGATTTAACACAAATTCAAAACTTTGAACTTCATTTGTAAGTATTGTACTGTATTTTTCAAGTCTGTCATTCGGGATTGGCATCGACATCTATGTATGCTTGGATTTTTTTTTCATAAACAAATTTGCAAGGAATTAAATTTAAATTATTATCCTAAAAAAAAAATACATTTATACGTGATTTGACGTCACTTACTAAAAAAAAAAAACCCAAGTGCTATGTATGCTTGAATTAACTGTTGTTCTCGTCTAAAAATTTAATCGGCACCGCTAAGCTTTTAAAATTTGAATGATAGCCTTAACTTTCTCTGATAATAATAATTAATCTAATTTAAAGAATTTAATTTGTCAAAACATGTGAATTAGTTCTGTCTTGTCCTTCCTGTCCAACTGTCTGTTTGTTGGCATAAAATTAATAGAAAAAGAAAAGGTTAAAACTAAGTTTGGAATTTTGTTGTATAGATATACTTTTGAGAAAATGTAAAGATAAAAATATAAATTTTGTTAGTGTTTTATTTAAAATATAAAATTTTTAAAATTTTAAATTAGATATTAAGTTTTTATTTTTTTATAAATAATATTA